GGAAACAGAACACATAGCACCACCAACATACACAACATTAACCAATTAGCAATACAACTTTTTCTCCTGCCAGCAAACTCTGCATTTCTGCGGCAGAAAGCATTGGACCTTCATGTTTTTGAGAAAGTTTTGAATATATAGCCTTGTAAACTTTTTTTTTTTATGATTACGTAATAATTACCTTTTCATTTGGCTGTCCACATGTTGCACTGTTGTTCATTAGCTCTGCTCTGTACTATATATTGTATTTATATTTAGGTTTTGAATTTAGAAATGGATGCTATAGCTATGGACAGAGTTCAAGTATTGAATGCCAATACATACAATTCTTGCTAATTGACTTCCGTACATATCCAATTTCTCATCTCATCTCATCTCATCTCATCTCATCTCATGCTCAAATAATTTAAGGCTGTGTTTGTTTATTTGTGCATCACATTTTGCTCCACTGGTGAGTCCCAGCTCAGTCGTAAACCTACAATCCTTGGCCAAAGGGTGGCAACCAGTTCAGGACCTAAAAGGAGGGTGAAACAACGCGACAACATTTGTTGCATTTTGAACTTATAAATACATTTTGAAATGTTTAAAGTCATTGAGTATCTTTTCAAGGTAATGGATTCCAGTAAGGTGCTGGAAACCTTTCCCTTAGGGAGGTTTATCCATGCTGATCATAGCATCAGCACAGTTCGTACTACTACTACACAGTAGTTACGTAGAGGGGACAGATACATCTGTGAAACAATCAGGGTTCCATTCATGGCATCCTTCCTTAGTGGCTCCTATGCAATTATACGAGGAATCACCGGACTGAACGAAAACACACCAATCAGCTGTTTGTAGCCTACAAATACAACCAATAGCATCACGTGGATAAATTTTGAGCGTAGTGTTCATTTCCACAGTAATACATAATAATATTAATTTAATTTCTTTCCTCTCACTTAATCCCAGTTGTTACTCGATCAACAAACCATTTCCTGAAATGTTCGAGATGAACTCTTGAGTTTGTTTTCTTGTTAGCTTCACCATCTCGTATTAGGTAAAAAGCAGAGTTGTAAATACCTGAATGATTCTGTTGATGGATCGGAGATGTAAGGCTGTGGAAATGGGACCATTATTTCAAAGTTTACCCAGAGATGACAGGTAAAACATGTTAGGAGGTTTTTAAGTTTGCATTTAACTGGGGGAAAGCAGCCGGGAAAATTTAGAAATAAAGCCCTGGTCCTTTGCTCCGCCCGCTGAAGGGAAGATGAAGGCCCTGGCGACCGTTTGGACAATTTTCCGCTATATATCTCATCTTTCCGCACAAGGAAACTGGAACACATGGTTTGAAAGGAACACCAGGACTTCCGACATTGGCTAAGCCTGCTGTGCACTGTGACCCTGGTCTGGAAAAGCGCATGCATTGGATGGATAAGAACATCTTTCGGAAATGTCTGTTAGGACACTAAGACGCAGGTTTGCAATGAAAACTATTCCCAACAGTTAACTGAGCTCTTGACCCTGTTCATTTGCTTAGAGATGTTCCCATGTTGACATACTCAAGGGTTAGGTATATGCATTTTTGACATTAAACGAATAGCGGTAAACACAGTTAGCAATGATTAAGGTTCCATTTCATTTTAATGTTAGCAGACCCTTTCAAGTTAGCAACATGCGCAATAGAAGGCAACCTGTTATACCTTACTATTTAGTAATCAAAAGTGCTGCTGGGAAAAAGTCTATTGGCCACTACATTGAATGTCACAAAAACATTGGGACAGTCTGGTTC